GCAGGAGAACTCCACAAACTGAAAGGTATTCAAGGGATTAAATGGGCAAATGGAAAAACTGTAGACCAGTCCAGTGTAAATATCTTATCTAATAATAGCAGAATCCAGCTAGAAAAATCTAAATCAGCTGCATGTACAATTATCTACAAGAAACAAAACCAATTCCCATGCATTCTATGATTCTAGATAAATTTCTGAATAATGTACAAATAAAATGTAGCTAAAATGAAACATTGAAAAGGCTTCAGAAGGAATTTTATAGCTACTCAATCAGAATAGATATTTTTACTCCTATGTATCTACCGTTGGCAGCTTTCTTTTTTATTCCAACCATACAAACAGGTTATATTAACTTCACGTTTATGGCAAACTAGACAGATCAAAAAAACAATGGGGCAAGGGAAACATTTCTGTTGAGTCACCTTTCTAGGGAAAATACAACTGTTTTTGAAGGGAAGTGGTTACTGCAGCATTCTGTTTGTGGAAAATCAAATAAAGGTTGCAGCAAACTTATGAAAGATTTTAATTTGCTTGTTGGACCTTATAATCTTTTACAGACCAATGCATGTCATGTTTATGTCCCAGCACCTCACCCATTGCACGACCAAAAGTGCAACTATCACATACATCAGATGCAGGCCTGGCTATCAAAAATTAATTTGCATTGACATTCACAAACAACATGCAGATACCCTCCTAATGTAACTGGAAATACATCCTTATTCCCCAGTTATCGTCTGAAAAGAGACTAGTGGATCATGTGCGTTGTCTGAGAAAAGAGGTATTATCATGTCCACACGTTGTTTGTTGGTCCTCTTACTTTAATGCATAAGGTACTCTCACTAGAAAATCCGGAGTCCAGAATGGAAAAGTACCACTATGCTTCTTTAGAACAAGAAAATAAATTCATGGTTAGGAAAGGAGAAGCTGGTTCTTTTGAATATGGGAGGATTCAATAATGAAAGAGATCCCATCCTTGAGAAGCTTTATGAAGCCACCTTTTATAGAATGAGAAAGCCCTAGTTTATTTGACCTGAAGAAGGGAAAGAAAGGACGCTATTAAAGGTATTTTTCATGTTTTTTCCAAGAGCATGAAAGAAGAGGTAAAGGCAAGTAAAGTGCCTAGCCAAGATCAACTCAAATGTTTTCATTTTGCAAAATCCAGCTCAGCGATGCATCAGCACTGATGAAAATTCTCAATACAAGTCAACTTTTCTCAGCATAAATGGTAACACTAAATAAGAAAATGGACAAGAGAATATGACTGATATGAATGTCCACCTAACGTATTTGGACACAATCTGGTGCCCAAATTCATCCAGTAGCTACATAATACACTAGAGAACAGACACATCCCTAAATTCTCAGGTTTAACATTCATGTATTTCTGTAAAATGGCATTTTAAGTCTAAACTTGAAATAACATCTTCAACACACAACAGTCCCTTTGAAAGGTGCAATTTTCAAGTCGTGCTATTCTTACTGATTTCAGTGATTTCCATGTAAGGAGGGGGAAAAAAGGAAAATATCTTATAATAAGATAAATAGCAAACATATGGTCTATGGACAAAAGATTTAACACAGAGCACATTTCTTCATCCAACATTGGTGAAATTTGGCCACAGTAAACCCTACACATTTTTAATCTTGACTATATTAGGATTACTTCAATTTCCAGTCAAGAAATAGAACAATATTGACAAGTTAATAAAGTATCAGTATCAAAATACTATGTCCATCGGAAGCATATTTTACTTCCAATAAGAATGGAGTGCTTAGAAAAGAAGAAATTTAAGAAAAAGCTATGTTTGTAAAATTTTTAATTCAAGTCCTAACAGAAAGTGTTAGGTAAAAGTATTGCTTTCTACAGGTAACATAGTAAAGTAGGTTTCTTCTCAGTTTGATCCAAAGTGACATCTGGTGCAGATTGCTCAGGATCCCACCGTACCCTTGCTAGACTTACAAAAGTATCCTCGCACTCACACGCTACTGCTGCTGGTGGTAGAACAACGGTTTACGCCCATACCAGAATACACAAGGGTATTGCACAGGGATTTTTGCCCACCACAACAGTGGCATTTCCAGACTAGCCCTTAATAATTGGCAAACAATAAAATTTGAAGCCAGGTTATTACTCAAAATTAGGCATAAATCTGCTTAAG